AATCTGAACTTACATGGTTTTAATGGTTTGCAATAGCTTGGAATGAAATCGGCTTGCAAAACTGTAGCGTGAGAAAGCTATAACGGTGTGCAGATTATGACACCAAAAGTCTTTATCAATGCACAAGTGTTATACAAATCTAGCCTGGTGTAACCTTACAAGTAGCAACATCTAGCAAGGTGAAACCTTAGAAGTCTAACACAAATCTAAGGTGTAACTTTACAGCCGTCAAATTTACAATACTGATTGCTTCTGCAAACATTAATGTAAAAACTCTACAACTATTTTCATCAACTTATTAAGGTGCATTAAAAGTAATTTTGTTTTATACTCCAAGTTCATTAGTACAAACGACCGTGTCACGTTTTAACGTAATATCCCTATTAAGAAAATTTGCAATTGACAATTAAGAGTGTCCAGTGGGTGCATTGTTTTTATTGCCACATATCACATAGAGCTTTTTCAGATATAACGGGTGCACCAAAAACTAGTGTTAATTTTTACTAATGAAGTTATTATTACCATTGAATAATCAACTAACTTGATTTAATGGAATATTCTGGAGAATACAAAATTTTCTTAACTCCCCAATTATAATCTTAACATGTATCCTCACATGTACAATTTGACGTGGTTCATAGACTTCAGCTGAAGACATCTTCTTTTTTACTTTGGTGAATTAAAGTAATCTTAAAATTCCTACCTGTGTTGCAAGTTCTTCAACTAGTATAAATCCTGTATAAGCAAGTACATAATCTTCTAAAATATTAAGATCATTTTATCCTAATATTTATTTCAAATTGTTATATTTGCAAACTGAAAATTCATTAAGGCAATTAATTATTTTAATAACATAAACATACTGAAAAAGTATTACTACTTCACGATGATAATTTTGCATATATATATATATATATATATATATATATATATATATATATATATATATATATATATATATATAATGAATTTAGGTTTGAACACGTTGGAGATTAAAGAAAAAGAGAAAGTAGCTATTTATTGTAACCTGTGTCTTCTAATTCTTGTAATAATAATGATGAAAAAAGTTGTAAATTCGTTGAGAAGTTAAGAAAAACTAGAAAAGATAGAGTTTTAGTTCAAGAGATGACAATTTAACGTTTCATTTTGTTTTTTTTATTTGCACCAAAGAATAAATTATTTATAAATTTTTTCAATATTATTTTTATTAAGAGATGAATTAGCAAGGCTACTATTAGTTGTGTGGCTTAACTATGGAACGCAACTGTGGAACCATTATTATAAAACTTTTAATGTTGTCTCATTCATGTATCTTGGATACATTCATGTATCTTGGATGCATTCATGTATCTTGGATACATTCATGTATCTTGGATACATTCATGTATCTTGGATATATTCATGTATCTTGGATACATTCATGTATCTTGGATACATTCATGTATCTTGGATACATTCATGTATCTTGGATACATTCATGTATCTTGGATACATTCATGTATCTTGGATACATTCATGTATCTTGGATACATTCATGTATCTTGGATACATTCATGTATCTTGGATACATTCATGTATCTTGGATACATTCATGTATCTTGGATACATTCATGTATCTTGGATACATTCATGTATCTTGGATACATTCATGTATCTTGGATACATTCATGTATCTTGGATACATTCATGTATCTTGGATACATTCATGTATCTTGGATACATTCATGTATCTTGGATACATTCATGTATCTTGGATACATTCATGTATCTTGGATACATTCATGTATCTTGGATACATTCATGTATCTTGGATACATTCATGTATCTTGGATACATTCATGTATCTTGGATACATTCATGTATCTTGGATACATTCATGTATCTTGGATACATTCATGTATCTTGGATACATTCATGTATCTTGGATACATTCATGTATCTTGGACACATTCATGCATCTTGGATACATTCATGTATCTTGGATACATTTATGTATCTTTTATACAATCATGTATCTCGGCTACATTCATGTATCTTGTTGGTACATGAATGTATCCGTGTATCAATTTTTATGATTTTATTCTTTGTTTATAATTTTGATACATTTTGCTTTATTTTGCTGAAAATTTTTAGCGGATTTAAGATTCACAAGCCCAAATCCTTGATAAACTTAAAAACATCGAACGAAGTGGAGATGTTGATTTTATTTTGAATGATGGCAATATTGAAAAAAACAGAAAATAAGTTCATTTGATAGATTCAGTATTATTGAAAATACTTTAAAAACAAGTTCAAATGCAAGAAAATGGAAAGTAATTTCTAATGTTGATAATAAAAATCTACATTCTAATTTTTATTATTGTGTAATGCCTGGGTGTGTCAAAATTTAGTGAATATAATAATAATAGTTGTATTCACAATAGTAAAAGATGTGGTGTTGTGACGCGCTTGCTTTTAAAATAAGAAAATTGAAGTTTGATACCCACCACGTCCCATAAATTACAGTGCTCAACTTAAATCTAAACACAGCGGCCTTGTTTGTCAAGGTTGGTGTTTAAGTTAAGTATTCAGTTAAAAGCTAAAAGTTTATATATATATATATATATATATATATATATATATATTTATATATATATATATATATATATATATATATATATATATATATATATATATATATATATATATATATATATATATATATATATATATATATATATATATATATATGGTGTTTAAGTTAAGTTTTCAGTTAAAAGCTAAAAATTTATATATATATATATATATATATATATATATATGTATATATATATATATATATATATATATATATATATATATATATATATATATATATATATATATATATATATATATATATATATATATATATATATATATATATATATATATATATATGATTTAAATTTGGACAATGGACAATATGTGAAAACAAATTTTTAGACTTTATTTTTTTTATATTTAAGTAAAATAAATACATATTTTCGAAAAAACAAGTTTTAAAAAATCACGACTTTATTCTGTATTAATGTCATCTCCATTAACACATTGCGTAAGAAAAGATTTGCAGTGTCTCACGAAGTTTGAAAGATCATGTTCAGTAACGTGTTCACGAACGTTCCTTATTTGTTCTAACAAGTCGTTATTTCCGATGCGAGCTATGTCTTCTTGTAGTATTATTAATTTTCGAAAATGTTTCTTTACAAGAATTTAGGAGAGGTGAGTATCGAGGTAAAAAACGAATTTAATAGAGATAACTATCTGATAATGAATGATGAGAGTTAACGTTGTCCAGCACCAAGGTAAACTCTTTTTTCTCCTCTAAAATACTTTTAAGTGTATTTAAGAATTCTTTAAAGATATCTGCAGTCACCCATACGCCAATTATTGCTTTCATCAATATAAATGTTATTTCTGTAATGTTTTTGAAATGTTAAGTTCAAATACCATAAAGCATATGTTTTTCTTTCCTCTTTTACCTCTGCACTATTGAATCTTTCAATAATAGGTCTTCAAATTTTATATGTATAATTCAATTTTTTTAACTATCGCCATAATGTTGAGGCATTGACGTTAATTCCCAATTGTACCTTTATCTCCTGTAGATTATAGTTTCTGTTATCTTCAGTTAATTAATGTAGCTTATTTCTTATTCCTTAATACAACCTGTTTGTCGAAAACCACCTCTAATACCAGGATTGATATTTCCTGTTAATATATATCAATGGCCCTTGCGTCATATTGAAGTCTAACTTCTATGCACAAGTTCCAATACTTCTTTTACACTTTTCTCTTTGTTAATTACATGATTAATGATCAACATTTATCATACTTCAACATTTATTTCTGAGCATTCTTTTGTACGTTATTCATTTTAGAGTTTAAAAAAATTAAAAAGAGAACGGGCTTAAATTGTGTATATGGAAGTTAAATTAAATGAAGCGATGAAAACAAAATTATTAGGGCCGACGATATGGGTTTCAAAGTGGTGGTTGTGGTGGGGGGACACTATCATCAATTTTAAAAAAAGGTCTTCTATATCTGGAATTTTCTTTAAAAAAAAAAAAGCTCCTTTAAAAAAAAAGTGGGGAATGGAGCACGTGTCCCTGGCCCCCTGGTGTCGTCCGCCGTGTTTATCATGATAAATAAAACCACCAGATTGAATGTAAAAAACATTCAATCGGAGTGAGAACAAGTGACTTCTATTAGCCACTTGTTCTCATTCCGAAGAATATTTACTCCACTAATGTCAACTCAAATAAACTATTTTTTATCCACAATACTTTGTTCTTTATTTTTGGATTTGCATACTTCTTTTTATAATTTGCTTTCTGCTTTTCTTGACCCGTTTCAATATTTTATATAGCTTTTTCTAGCAGACTTGATTTAAAGTATAAACAATTATTGTAAAACTCCAGAGTATGTTAATAATGAAAGAAAAAGGAACAACTTGCATATTAAAACTCTATTAAATCTGCCAGAAATAAAATTAAAAAAAGGAAGAAAAAACCTTGAAAAAAATCAAATTGTTACAGTGATGTTCTCCAATCATATTTTAACAAACCAGTTAATGTTTTATACCTTTCCTCAATTATTTTATTCATAAATATATACAAACATGTCCAAACAGAGGTGGGAAAATCTATTTAAAAACTTAGACGCCAATGAAAGCTACCAAATTTTCTGCAATATCTACAATAAATTCATCCGTTTAAAACAAAATAAACGACGACCAATCTGGCTAACAAAAGAACTTTTGTTACTAATTAAACGAAAGAAAGAACTCTGGTTTCTCAACCGTAACAGTAAGTGGAAAATTTTCTCGTTGGCTCATGATTACAAGTTGACTCGAAATCTTGTAAGAAAAGAGACTAGAGCCGCAGTTCTTTTATTTGAAGAAAACTTATCTTAAGACAAGAACAATCCAAAAAGACTCTTTGTCTACATTAATAGCAAACGTACTGTCAATAATTATATCAATGCATTGCATTCTCCATCTGGTTAACACTACCAATAGATTTTTGATCGCCAATACATTGAACAAGGTATTCCAATTTGTCTTTACTATTAAGCCTCATAATCAAAATCTACTTTTGTTTGCTAAACGCTCATCTACCTCTCTCCTAAACTTTTCATTTGATTCTGAATCTGTTCAAAAACACCTTGAGGCACTTGACAAATATAAATCTGCTGGAGAAGATCAAATAAGTCCTTACGTTCTTAAAGCATGTGTCACCACAATAGCAGCTCCGTTTGACATAATTTTTCAATTGTCAATGGAACAAGTAATTGTACCAAAGGCTTGGTTTGTAGCTAAAGTAACTCCATTGTTTAAAAACAGTTCTAAGACCGATCCTACAAACTACAGACCAATTTCCATCACTTCTGTACCATGTAAGATAATGGAAAGACTGATTAAAGATAAGGTCATGCATCACTTATTATCTAACAATCTTCTCTCCCAATGTCAACACGGATTTATCAGCAAAAAATCATGCACTACAAATTTACTCGAAACTATGGACTTTTGGACCTATACTGCATCACAAATGCGACCTGTTGATGCCTTATTTCTCGATTTTGCCATTTGACAAAGTTCCTTACAAAAGGTTAGTAAAAAATCTTGAATCTTATGGAATTAGTGGAAATATTTTAATTTGGATTAATGCCTTTTTTTCTAACAGAACACAACGTGTCCTCCTTGGTAATATTGCATCCGATTGGAAACAGGTTACTAGTGGCGTTCCTCAGGGCTCAGTTCTTGGTCCAACACTATTTATAGTCTATTTTATGACTTACCAGAACACATTAGCAGCAAAAATAAATAAAAAATGTACGCAGATGACACTAAAGTCCTCAGTGTAGTTAACACTTTAGAAAGCAAACTTGGTCTGCAAGCTGACATTGATAATATTGTCAATTGGACCCTAGTATGGCTCATGCAACTTAACATCAAAAAATGTAAAGTTATGCACATCAACCAATCCAAGTCTGTCCCTCACATCTACTTCATCAATAAAAACGACTCCAATAGCAGAGTCAAAAGAATCCAGCTAGAAACCAGTTAGAAAAAGACCTTGTTGTTCAACTATTTGTTGATCTAAAGTACAAAGGTCAAGTGTTCACCGCTGCTGCTAAAGCTAACAAAATCTTAGGTATGTTGAGGCACACCTTTGTTAGCAAAGATGTATAAGTCTGAAAAGACCTCTATCCAACATACGTACGTCCACATTTAGAATATGCTATCACCACCTAGTGTCCTTACCTTAAAAAAGACATTACTGAAATTGAGCAAATACAACATCGTGCCACAAAAATACCTCATGAATTAAAGCACCTTGATTACAAGACAAGATGTGATATACTTGAACTAACTTCACTAAGTGGCAGAAGAAAACGTGGTGACCTCATCCAAAAAATTGAAAATAAAACTGAATTATTCAACTAGCATATTGACCCAATAAGCATTCCTCCCATCTATGGGAGGAATGTATATTGGGTCATCGCAAACGTTTTTATCGTGAAATTAATAGCAACTGCCTCGTTCGACTTAACTTTTTCAACAATCGGGTTGCAAATAATTGGAAGGCTCTGACTGATGATGTCAATGCCTCTACTATTGACAGTATTCAATAGTATCAAAAACAGTATCAACAATTTATTCTCTGTCTTGTGATGCAGTTTATCATCCTCTATCCTAAACCTCTCAAGTATAAATAATTAACTGTTTCCAATAATACATACATAATTTTTTTGTGTCATAAATTTTTTGAATATACTTGTAACTATTATTAAATCGGAAAAAAATATATTTTTTTTAAATATATCTACTGTGTTTACATTGTGTAAAAATATCTACTGTGTTTACTTTGTGTAAAAATATCTACTGTGTTTAGTTTGTGTAAAAAATATGTACTGTGTTTACTTTGTGTAAAAAATATATACTGTGTTTACTTTGCGTAAAAAATATATACTGTGTTTACTTTGTATAAAAAATATATACTGTGTTTACTTTAAAATATCTACTGTGTATCTATCTACTGTGTTTACTTTGTGTAAAAAATATATACGGTGTTTACTTTGTGTAAAAAATATCTACTGTGTTTACTTTGCGTAAAAAATATATAAACAAACATTTGTTTATTTATTTCGTCATTTGAGACATTTTACAATGTCAACCTTACATTCAAATAAATTTATACAATCGCAAGCTGACTGGGGCAAGTAGAAGACAAAATGTCTAATCATCAAGCCCCTTCGTGAAAATAGAAAAAATAAAATAAAATTTTACAATTTCCAATAATATATAAAAGAGCGAAATTAAAAAAAGTTAAAAAAAAAAAACAAATTAAAAAGTTTGAAAAAATCAAAAAGTTTTAAAGATAGTTTTTAAGTTTGACAAAACTAAAAAATTATACATATCCAATAAACTTCATAATATATATTTAAATATACAAAATATATTTCGAAATGAAAAAGATTCCGAACATTTTATAGATTTAAATTCATCTATTCAGATTTTTTTTTTAAATAAAAAGAAACAAGAAGAATCTATAAATATTAATAACTTAACGCTTCCAATGAACGCTCACCATTAGTGCGCGGAGTTTTATGAGCATGCTTGGCCTTTTAGATATTTCTCTTTTTGACCAAGTGATGAGGTATTCTTGAATCTGTTAATATCTCTTTAATTAGTAATAAGATTGAAAACTTTGCTTCATCAACTTATTTAGTAATAAGTAATAATTAGTAATAATATTAAATTTTTAATTAAAAGACGATGGTGACTCTAAAAAACAAAGATATATATATATATATATATATATATATATATATATATATATATATATATATATATATATATATATATATATATATTAGATAGATAAAGATATATATATATATATATATATACATATATATATATATATATATATATATATATATATATATATATATATATATATATATATATATATATATATATATATATATATATATATATTAGATAGATAAAGATATATATATATATATATACATATATATATATATATATATATATATATATATATATATATATATATATATATATATATATATCAAGATATATATATATATCAAGATATATATATATCTTGCATCTCACACAGCTACATGGTAGAAAGAACAAAAAAGAACAACGTTAAATACCTTACCTTTAAAGAAGTTAAAAAAAAAATCTGTTTGCTTTGATATAAAAAACCAGATCGTTTGTTTTTCCAAGTTGTTAAACTTTTATTATACGAGGTATGTCATTAAACAAAAATAAGGTTGTATTTGTAAAGTTTCTAAATTATATATTTTTCTTGATTAATATATTTTTATATAGATTAATTTATATTTATGTGTTATATATGTTTATGTGTTTAGGTTATATGGGTTTATATTTTTTAAGTCTGTAAATATCATTTATGTGTTTGTAAATATCTTTTCAAATTGTTGTGACTTGGCTTAGTTTACAGCAAAAGTGTTGATTTTGCTAGCCAAGTGGTGTACTTTGCTATAATGCGACTTAGTTTTGTTGGGAGTAAGATTGTTATCCACGCCAGTTAAGTGGTGTACTGCAGTACACCACTTAACTGATGTGTTAGGCATGTACACGCCAAACAGTAACAGTACTGTTATGATGAAATACACAAATTAAGTTTGTTTGTAGTTAGTGTAGTCATAAAAAGTTTTGAAAAAAATTGGGCGCAGGTGTATTTGATTCACAGGGTTAGGAGAGGGTGTCATTTCTTAGTTAATTTCAATTAAAAACGGCTTAAATAAATCATCGTTTTAATCACACGTGAATCAAATACACCTCCACAATTGTTAAAAGAATGTGTTTATAAGAAATGTTGAAAGATATATAGTTTTTTAATATCTATAACAATTTTCTTAATATTTGTAATTTTATGTTTTTATTGATATAATACTTCATTAAATAATTTTTATACTGTTACTTTTTGAGTAAATTTGTTTAAAAGATATATACTTACTATACATATATTAAATGTATAGAATATATATTATTGAATTTTTTTCTTTAGAACATTAGATATCTGAAAAAAAATAAAATAGTTAAACAAGTTTCAATATTTTCAAGTTTCTTCATTTAAAGCAAATATATTATTGTTTATAGAGGTTTTCTTTTATTAGTTTTGTATTTTCTTATTTATTGCAAATCTTGCATTTAATGCGTTTCAAAGTAATGAAAGGATTTTTATAATGAATGATTACATTTTATCCTTATAGTTCTATTACTTATAGATTACATTTTATCCTTATAGTACTTGCTGAGCAGACAGGTCTTATTATTTTTAGTTTGCTTTATTTATGAGTTCTTAAATGTAAAAAATTTGTTTTTTAAATTACTTTACTTTTGTTTTTTTGATTAAATACTAATAATATTTTGTCAATAATTAAAAACAACTAACTAAAATAACAATACTCAGTTTAAAAGATTATATCATTTTATTTATAACTTTAGTTTAACCTTTTAATAAAAGTGTTATCTTAACACATCGCTATATATGGTAAAATATAAAAGATTATTATATTATGCTCTATATTATTTGCTTACACTTTATTTAGATTAGTTTAAAAAAGAAAACTCAACTTTTTATTATATTAAGCATCATTTTTACACACCTTTGATGCATAATTATGTCTGATAATTTAAGAAATGAAATTATTAGACTTCATCAAAAAGAACTCAATAGGTATAATATGCATCACATAGTAAGAAAAAATATTGGTACAGAGAGTAATTACCTAGAAGAATTCAACCATAATTGTCAGTATTGTTGTGTGAAGAATTTTTTAAATGAAACTCATTTTTTGTGCTGCCATTCAGGAAAAGTTGTATTAGGTAATAGCTCCTCTTTCTTTATATCCACCATTGTTGACTGGATTAATGACAGGAAACCATGTTAATCATGCTGTAAATAAAAAAAAATTTTAAACACATAAGGAGTTATAATTCCTCTTTATCTTTTGCTTCCTTCACTGCCAAACTAGCTCCTCCCTCAAATATTAGCCTTTTCTGTTTTAGGGTCTGTGGGCAAATTTTTGCATCATGTTGGGAATTTGAGACCTGCAGAATTTTTCCAAATATTCTCAGTTATATATCTATGAACCTAATGCAGCAGTGTCATCCAGAATGTAGCAACCTAGTATGATGGTTGTATACGTGAGTTAATGCAACTTTTGCAAACATTAATTAATCAAGAAATCCCATTTGCTCTTGCATTTAAAAACATGGCAGAAGTAGAGGATGAAGAAATCCCCGAGCAGCTTTAGAAGGTAGACCAACTTCTGCTGTAAGATTGTCTTTGCTTGAAGGTCATGATAGACGTTGATACAATATTTCTTCCCATGAGGAGGTCGCTATTGTGTTTGTGGGAAATGGTGGTGCTCCACCTGAATCCAGGGAAGTTGTTATATACCCTCAAGGTTAGCCTTTAAAAACAAATTTGTGTTTGTCTGCAAATTTAGATCCTATGGTATATTCAATATTTTTCCCGATAAGTGATGCTGGATGGCACAATCAACTGGAGCATAAATCTGA